CGACGATTTCTAAAATACGGTTTCAATTCGATTTTCCGATTTGACGATTTTTGCTGCGTTCGCCACTGCCTCTAGTAACTGCCGTCAAGGTCACAGCGGGGATTCGCTTCTTCAATGAGGTCAAATTTCCAACGAAGTTTCCACACTTAATTTCGTTGGGAAAACCAGCTTCGAAAGGTTTAGAAGAAACTAGACTCTAATTGGCAAGAGAGGCTTAAATCTTTTGATCCTCTAGAAGTAATGTCTGTGAATGAAAAGATAGATGCAGTTGCTGCTAAAGCTTTAGATCCCCATATCTGTAAAAATAGGGATGAGAAATATGGATAGAGGTATGGCTGTGGAGCAAAATGAAGAATTGTATTTCCAGAATTACATAAATGATGAAAATGCACCTGAAGGAACGTCGGTTATGCAGCCAGTTATTATGGTTGTCGAGGTAATTGAAGCTCCGGTGAAACTCTTCTAATCTGGTAAGTGCGAAACTCAGGCACAAATAGAAATAATTTCTGCTTCAACTTCTGGACTACGCGAGGCCTTTGATAGCCTTTAATGGTAAATGCACCTGGAGGAACGTCGATTATGTAGCCAGTTATTATGGTTGTCGAGGTAATTGAAGCTTCAGCGAAACTCTTCTAATCTGGAAAGTGCGAAACTCAGGCACAAATAGAAATACTTTTTGCTTCAATTTCTGGACTTTTCGAGGCCTTTGATAGCCTTTAATGGTAAATACGAACCTATGTAACCTGAGCGTGAACCTTCGACGTCTTCGGCCAGTTGCAGACAAAAAACGATTTACTGATTGGAGTGGAGAATTTGCCTTTAGAGGTATTAATAAAGGAGAAAGACTGATCGGTTAGGTTAGAAATTAATTTCTGGAATTTAGATTGGCAAGCTGATGAAAGGGAAATAGAATATGGGAAAATTTGAGAAAGCAATGATCATTCATCCATCGAATTGAAAAATGCACTCTAGGTGTTCGATGGTATTCACAGCTCAAAATTCAGCCCCCTAGCTCCTACCTTTAAATGAAATTGTAAAGGGATGCCAGTGCTTTGTTGATGAGAGGGCAGATGGTGTTGACAAGCTTCTGTAGTGACTAGCGAAGCTATTTTAAACTCCAGCTACATGTCTCCTCGGGACTCCAACGGTGGTGTTGTGGCCACTAAAATTTGACGAGAAGTTTTGAGCAATCGAATCTTTAAGAGTTTGGACTCCCGGCAAAATGCTACTTCTCCTATCGGCTCATAACTATGGTAATGGACAAAGATATCACTTTTTTATTCTGTTGTGAATTTATATTCTCCAAGCAATTCAAAGCTAGATATGTCACTATGCTAGCCCTTTCATTTTCTTACCATGTCCATCTTTTGATAGAATGCCATTTATGTATTGATATGGGAAAGATAATATAATGTAGTTTCTCCTGGTCCATGGGAATGCACGTACTTAGTCATGAAAATATAAAAATGGAGCTTACCTTCAAATACAATTCTTTGCACTTCTCCCTTGCTTGTTGATATATACACTCAAAGAATTTTACTGAGTTTTATAGCACCTGAAGACCTTAGCTCCAAGAATTAATCATCATTATGAAAAATGGAAACTGTCTAATTCTAAGCTGTTGAATGCACGTGAGCAATTGATTTGTGATGTTAAATAAGCGTTTGAGCTTTTGATGATTTTATTGATCAACATATGAATAAACAAAGGCTATGCATTGAAAATATCATGAAACCACTATTTGCCTATATTCTCTACACCGCTACTAATGTGGAGCAACCATCATGATTAGTTGAAATTAAAATAATAGCTCATGCGTACATGCCAAAAAAATGTTATGGATCTTTAAAGATGCCAGTCAGACAACATACATCGTATGATTTGTGTTTTAATCATTAAAAAGTATATATTTTGGCGTCATTGATGCTCATGCTTATGCTATGATTATTTGGTTATGATTTACAATAACATTTGGTTCATACACACTAAGTGCTCAACCGAATGCCCAACTAATATTGGAAAAATTGAAGGGCCTGGTGGGCCCATAAGTCCTCACACCTTGGGGTTAACTCATGATTTTCTCATCTTTGAAGGCGAGCCCTAACTCGTAGTTTTCTTATTATTGAAGGCAAGCTCTAGCTCATGATTTTCTCATTATTGAAGGCGGGCTTCAGCTCGTGATTTTCTCATTATTGAAGGTGTGTCATGATTCGTGATTTTCTCATTATTGAAGACGAGCTTCAACTCGTGGTTTTCTTATTATTGAAGTCGTGCTTCAGCTTGTGGTTTTCATATTATTGAAGTCGAGCTCTAGCTCGTGATTTTCTCATTATTGAAGGCGAGGCTTAGCTTGTGAATTTCTTATTATCAAAAGCAAAGTCTTGTTCCGTTCAAGTACTCAAAGCCTTACTCTGTACAACATTCAAAGTCTTGCCCCGTGCAAGCACCTTAAAGCCTTGCCCTTGAGTAAGCACTCAAAGCCTTGCCTCATGCAAGCACTCAAAGCATTGCCCATGAGCAAGCACCTCAAGGCATTGCTCTGTGCAAGCATTCTTGCAAATAATTCGTACATTCAAGCAAACATAAATCCTAAAAATCATCAAGCAAAATGATTGATCTTATAAGCTTGAACCTTTCTTTCCTAGATCTATGTACTTGAGCACATCCTTTACTCGACCACAAGCAATCAACACTCGACTCGAGTAATGATAGAAATGTAAAATGCATATTTTTCCCTCTTTATTTTATGTGTTCGTATGATTAATTAATGTCAAAATGTACTCATTACGTTCATATTTTGATTTAGGTGGCAGTTCTATGGACATGACGTAATTTGGAAGAATTAATTGAACAAAGACCAAAATGAAATAAAACGAAGTTTGGGGACTGAAACGCAAATACTCAAAAGTTATGTGAAACCCCGCAATGAAGATTTGAGAGTGTTAGGAGTCAATTGGATGAAAAAAAAAAATCAAATGGATGACATATCGTCAAAATATGATTACACATCAATTTCCAATCGAAAAAGTTATGCATAGATTTTTAGCCTCATTTTGAGACCCATTTTTCACATGGCAAACGATCGAATTGGAAGATGATGTCTGAAGAAAAGTTGTATCCCTTTGAGTTAGCTTTCAAACGCATCTTGAATCACTACAATTGAACATCAGGAGTGGAAGATATGACCAAAATACTGAAAACTGTCTGACGGAAGAAACCTATAATTATGCTATGTGGTCGCGAGAGGCATTTCAACGAATTTCAGAGCCTAGTTTCAATATTTTATGCAACCGCATGACTTCCTACTATGCGGTCGCATAGTTCATTCTCGACACGAAAATTCTGGTTTCCGAATTTAAATCAACTATCTATGGAAACAACTATAAATACATATTTTAAAACTCTAGAACGGGGGAAGAATGTACATAATGCCTCCAAACTTCATTTTTCATTATTTTGTTCACAGATTCATGAATTGTAACTAAAC